TTTCTTTTTTTTTTTTGGTCTTTTTGAGACAGGGTCTCCCTGTAGCCCCAGCTGACCTGGAACTCGCTATGTAGACCAAGCTGGCCTCAAACTCAGAGATCTGCCTGCCTCTGCCTCCCAAGTGCTGGGACTAAAGGTGTGTGCCACCATGCCCAGCAGCATTATTTTTCTAATTCTCAATGGTATAATTCCTCTAGGTAAAGAATGTCTATTTACTAATACCACCCCCCCCCAACATACACACTCATAAGTGGCCATTTTATAACACAATCCTAGGTCACATTTAAAAGTTCTACAATAAACCTGGAGATTTTTAGGTTGTAGGGGATGGAGCTGACAGCAGATGGAAGGTGAATTTTGTTAGCGCAGGCCAAATTTAGGGGACATCCTGCTCTCTTACAGAATTTGTGCTATGTCAGCACAACTTCTCAGTCCTAGAACGAACCTTTTACATTAGTTCTGCTCAATGCCCCAATTTTTCAGGTAACAGTGATAAACACATAATTTGGGGTGTGACAAGAGGACAAACTACTTGCAAATGCCATTAACTTAAATTTTTTTTTCTTTTTTAATGTGTATGAGTGTTATGCCTGTATGTAAGTGCACTCGTGTCATGCAGTATCCACAGAGGACAAAAGATGGCATCAGGATCCCCTGGAACTAAAGTTACAGATGGTTGCTAGCCACCATGTGGGTGCTGGAATTCTAATCCAGGTCCTCTGTAAGAGCAGCCAGTGCTCTTAACTGCTGAGCCACCTCTTCAGCCCCCAAATGCCATGAACTTTTTAAACATACCTGTAATCCACTAAATGATGGGACAAAATACACTCCTTCTGAATCTTCCAGGCTCAGGGCCATCTTTTCAGTCTCAGCAGCATCTGTGAAAAGCTCTGCAAAAACAAACACATGAACAACAACAAATCCTAAAACAAAAAGAAGGGGTTGGGGACAAACAGAATTACATTATATGACTACTAGGTACAGCGTCTCCCACCTTAGGACTGGAATGTAAAATGTTGTTCACTTAAAAGGGTCAATACAAGCTGGATGTCTTTAAACCCAGCACTTGGGAGGCAGAGGTAGGCAATCCCTGTGAGATTGAGGCCAGTCTGGTCTACATAGTAAATTCCAGGCTGGCTGGGGCTACAGGGAGGTGCTGTCTTAAGAAAAGAAAAGGAGGTCAGCACAAAGATCATTCTGTCTGACCTATCATTGTACAAAGGTTTACAACAAAGGTTTGGACAAGGGAGATTCCCTGAAGGTCCTTTTAGGTAAGCTTTATATGTGGCAGGCCATGCTTTAAAGATATTTGGGCAATGTAACTAGTCTATGTATGTTTTTTGATATTATAGATTATTCTCAGTTGGGCATGGTGATTTATACTTGTAATCTCAGTGCTTTGGAAGGCTGAGGCTGGAGAATCACTCTAAGTTCAAAGCCAGTCTGGGCTACATAATGAGATCTTGTCTCAAAAGCAACAACAACAAAAAAAATTCTCCTTGGGCTGGCAAGGAGCTCAATGGTACACTGAGTGGGTACTTTGGTGTATTTAGTATTATACAGTAGCCCATGGGTTCAAAACTCAATACTAAAAAAAGAAAAAGACTAATGACAAATTACACATACAGTATAGCTAAAAGCTACACAATAAGAAACAGTGCCAGACAGGAGAAACCTTCCTTTGAATTGTTTACCAGGGTGGTCCAAGAGACTCCCCAAATTACACAGGCTATTGCCACAGTCCTTGATGGCCTCCCAGAACTTGAAGGCAAGGACCCTACTGCTGAAGACAGGACATACTTTGGACACAGGATTTAGAGCAATGAAGCTGGAACTGAGCTGGAAGCCTCCTCCCCTGAAGGCCAGCTCTCATTGTTTTGGAGAGCACTACGCAAGCTGGTACATCAATCAATGGTCCAACATGAGCCTCAAGACCAAATAATCACATCAATGACCAGCACAGCACACAACGTTGGTTCAGTAGTGGCACTTTTACCTTGGGGGCAATCAACAGCTATCTAATTGGACTAAAAGCTCACTCAATAGGAGGAAACTCAAGTGTGGTACTGAAAACATATCCAAATACAAATGGCTGGAAAGGTCACAGATCTTAGAGAAAAACCCCAAGACCTTCACATCCCTAGACTAATGTAACTTCTTACTATGTACAAAATACATATCTTTATATTTATAGACAAATATCCCAGTCATCACTCAACAAAGAAGCTTCTTTTGCATCAGATGGAGACTGTTACCAAGTACAACAACTGGTCACACGTAGACATTGTAACCTCTACACCTAAGGCTCATGGAATACAGAACAGAGGTAAAGAAGACACTAATGAATCTCTCAGTTCTCATTAATGAAGATCCCTCATGCTACAGAGAGCCAAGAACACAAAAGGTCACAAATGGCCAAAGCACAGAGATTAAGAGACTTTAGAATGGTGGTTCTTGGACAGAACTCCTATATAAAACTTCATTCACCCAGGACTCAGGGAGCATTGCGGAAGAGGGGGTGGAAAGATTTTAAGAGCCAGGGAGGAGATATATGACCATATGGAAATAGAGTCCTACAAGCTCCTGGGACCCTGCTCATATAAACCTACAGCAATGGTGTCAGCATACACAAGTCCCATGCAAACTCAAACAAATAAAAACCCAGTATAGAACTGGGGAAATGGACATTAGACCCCAATCTTAGCTGAAGAAATACTGGCATTCCTACTGGGCGAGGAAGAGCTGATCTTAAAGCAAGGGGCTCTAGATAGGCTTACTAGACCTCAGTACTAGAACTTCAAGTAGATGAACTACATTGTACTGAGGAACATCTGGGGACACTAACTTGACACAATAGGCCTTAACACAAATGACAGAATGTATGAATTCCAGTGGGGGTGCTATGGGATGGTGCCAGTGGGGACAGGGGTATAAAGATGATTGAGATTGAGATGTTCTATATGAAATACACAAAAATTCAATGAAAATAAAAATTCTTTTCAAAAAAGCAAAAGAGGGGCTAGAGAGATGAGTCAGCAGTTAAGAGCACTGACTGTTCTTGTAGAAGACCTGGGTTCAAACTGCAGCACCCACGTACCACACATACACACACACACATACAAACACACACACAGAGAGAGAGAGAGAGAGAGAGAGAGAGAGAGAGAGAGATATATTAATTAAAGTTTTGCCACAACAAAGGAAATTATTATCAGAGCTCATCTCAAATAAGCCACAGGGGGG